GAAGTTTGAATACTTTATTATTAGAGATGTTTTGAACAATTCACAAGCATGTAATATTCACAGAAGGTTAGCTCCGTGAGAGTGGAGACTTCATCTTATTTATGCAAAGTTGGCATTCTATAAATACATGCCATATATATATAATACCATAAATGTTCTTTTGTACCCATCACTATTCCACTTTTTAAATTTGTTAATTTTAGAGGATCATGTTAACATATGTTTTTATGTTGAACTATTTCTCATTTCTAAGATTAACCTTGTTTGGTCTTGACGTGTTAGTTTTTTAATGCCATTTTGAATTTTAGTACTTACTGTTATTATTTTTAGAATCTGTGGCTCTGATCATAGATTGTTTTATTTCCCTCCATCCCTTTCTTGTCCTTGCCTAGTTTGACACTGTGTTTTAAAGAAGGAGTAGGAAGCATTCTTATCTTTTTCTGTACTCTTCTTTATGTTATTTGAAGATTCAGAGCATTTTTATTAAAACTGTCTGAATTCAGTACCTTTTTAGTTATAGCCCTTCCTCTTACAAATTTTGTAACTTATGTTTTATTTAGAAAAACATTTTTTTAGATATCAAATATACTAGTTTAAAGCTGTACAGTACTGTATGTTTATTTTTTAAAATCTTCACAATTATAGTTGTCACTTTTTCCGTTCTTTTTTTTTTTTTTCTGAGACAGAGTCTTGCTCTGTCTCCCAGGCTGGAATGCAAAGGCCTGATCTTGGCTTACTGCAACCTCTGCCTCTCAGGTTCAAACAATTCTCCTGCCTCAGTCTCCTGAGTAGCTGGGATTACAGGCACTCGCCATTGCACTTGTCTAATTTTTTTTTTTTTTGAATTTTTAGTAGAGATGGGGTTTTGCCACGTTTCCCAGGTGGTCTTGAACTTCTGATCTCAAGTGATCCACCTGCCTCAGCCTCCCAAAGTGCTGGGATTACGGACATAAGGTACCGTGCCCAGCCTCATTTTTCTCATTCTTAATGTTGATTACATCTTTGCAAACTCCTCACTTCAAAAGTTAAAAATTAGACTTGCTGAAGATTGGTTTGTTTTATTTGGTTTTTCAAATAAGTTGGTTTTTGTTTAATTAATCAAACTTGTCGTTTTTTTGTTTTTCTATTTAATTAATTTCTGCTATTAACTGAATTTATCCTCTCTCTCTCTCTCTCTCTCTCTCTCTCTTTCTCTCTCTCTAATTATCTTTGGTTTTCTCTAGCTTTACTTTATTGGTTGTTTTACTTATTTTTAGTCATTTTTGTGTTAAAATAAATATATTTAAAGGTCTAAATTTTCTTATTGATGCTTTCACCAAATTTTATTGCTTTGAAATGTAGTATATTTACTATCATTCATTTTTAAATTGATTTAAGTATGTTTAGGTTTTTTAGCTTTTTGTAAATTCTTAGGAAAATAGATTTTTCTATTCTTTCTTCCCTCTCATTCTCTCTCTCCAACTGATTTTTTCTTTCTTCCTTACTTCTTCCTGCTGCCATTGAACTTAAAACACCATCAATTAGAAGAAACATTATACACTACTGAAAAAGAAAAAATCCACGGAATTAAACTATAATTGAATGCTTTCTTAGCATTCAGAATTTTTGTTTTATGCCTATTGAAAGAGCTATAGAAGTTTTAATTCTGGCACTTAAAAAAAATCTTGCTTGAAAATTTCAATAAATGGTTTCCAGATAATAATTAGGGCTCATCCTTCACTCTTTCTTCTTCGGATGGTCCTTAAGTTGTTTGTTGATGACTCACGCTGTTAAGTAAACCCTGCAAATTGAACAAAATAAAATGTTTGTTCAGACACAGGCAATAACAACTGTATTTTATTCATCGTCTGGGTAATCTTAATCAATGCTGTTGTTCCAGTATCAAAAATGAAAAGAACTTATGTCTCAGAGTTGATGAAATATGGCATATATAGTATATTCTGATGTTAATTTTTGTGAGAAAGATGTAATATGATATCAGCGTTTTGGACATTTTTGAGATTTGTCTCATCTCATACATTGTCAGTTTTTGTGAGTAGGCCATTTGTGTTTAAAAAGTGTGTGTAGCATGAATTTATTAGGCATGCTATTTAATTGTATTATATCCTTTATAGCTTTACTTTTTTGGCCAATTCCATTTGTTAATTTTTGAAAGGAGTAAGCAAAACCCTTCAAGATTTTGTGAAATTTTCTGTTTCTTCTTTGATGTTTGTCAAGTTTTGCTTTAATAATGTATCCTGACTTTGGGAGGCCGAGGCGGGTGGATCACGAGGTCAACAGATCAAGACCATCCTGGTCAACATGGTGAAACCTCATCTCTACTAAAAATACAAAAAATTAGCTGGGCATGGTGGCGCGTGCCTGTAATCCCAGCTACTCAGGAGGCTGAGGCAGGAGAATTGCCTGAACCCAGGAGGTGGAGGTTGCGGTGAGCCGAGATCGCACCATTGCACTCCAGCCTGGGTAATAAGAGCGAAACTCTGTCTCAAAATAAATAAATAAATAAATAATAATAATGTATCCTGTTGTTAGATGTGCAAATGTTGAATACATGTTTCTTGAATTCTGTTAAACATGATTTTCAATTGATCTATCTGATTCCTTTTTATTGATATTTACCATATAGATAATGAAATATCAAAAGTGTAAACGTTTTTTAATTTTCAGACTTTCTGGATTTTTGGGTATTTATCGTTTCTAGTTTATAATTGGGGAAGCAGTACGAATTTAATTTTCTTTGTTTTAAAAACAGAGATTTTACATTTTTAATAAGCATTTTAACACATCATGGATATGTGATTATTGATATGGTTGGATGTACTTTTGTTTTATCATTTTGTTTCTTGTGTGTGAAGCATTGAACAAATTAAATATAATTCTTGCCCTCCCATATCTTACAGTATAAGGAGCAGTATTTTAAAAGAACATCTTATTTTTATATATCATGTTATAAGTAAAAAGTACTTATCATATACTGGCTTCAAAAACAAAAGTTCTCATGTTCTTTATTTGTCCTTCTCTGAGGATGGTGTTATCCTTATTTAAGGGTGGGGAAGTTAACAATATGAAATTACAAAATGGCAGTTTGGGGTCCAGATTCATTCCTCATTTCATTAAATGCATGAAATAAAACTTTTATGTAGTTACCTGGGAAAAACTCCATTAAAACTATTTTAATCATATTTTAGGTTTGTTTGTTTTTTGTTGTTGTTGTTGTTTTGTTGTTGTTGTTGTTTGAGACGGAGTTTCGCTCTTGTTACCCAGGCTGGAGTGCAATGGCGCGATCTCGGCTCACCACAACCTCTGCCTCCTGGGTTCAGGCAATTCTCCTGCCTCAGCCTGCTGAGTAGCTGGGATTACAGTCACGCGCCGCCACCAAGCCCAGCTAATATTTTGTATTTTTAGTATAGACGGGATTTCACATATTGACCAGGATGGTCTCGATCTCTTGACCTCGTGATCCACCCGCCTCGGCCTCCCAAAGTGCTGGGATTACAGGCTTGAGCCACCGCGCCCGGCCAGATTTGTTTTTAATGTGCTATTCTATATGCAAAACTATTCCCATCTGTATTTAGTTCCTTTTTCTCTGTGTGTGACATTTGACCTGGATCAGATACCTAATAATTTCCAAATTAATCATAGTTTCTACCCTCATGGAGTTTGACTTTGATTTAGAAGCTAAACACCTTGAGTTTTGCCCAAGGTAAAGGCACTTTTGTCTCAGAACATACCTAAGAGCATTTCCTCTGCCCCATTTTCTTTGCCTTTGCTCTTCAATTGGCTAACTTCTTTCATTCTCTACCCATGTCTTATTTCGAAGTAACTTCTTCCAGAGACCTTTCTGAAATCTCTAGACCTCGTTAGGTTTACCCTGCTGTGCCCTTGAACATTATCCAGTACTGTTCTTAAAATAATAGCCTACCTTGTGGTAATCACTGGCATGTCTGTTTATTTCTCGATTTGCATCTGTTTCATTGACTCCTGTGCCGTTAGTGACTAGTGTAGTGCCTGGAAAGTACGTGATGAATGATGAAGGCTAATTTCTGCTTTGTATCCTCAGCATTATCACCTGGCATGCAATAAAAACTTAATAACAGAATCTGAACTGTTGTTACAAATGACTACAGCAAGATTCTTGAATGTATTATAAAACTTGTACTTCCTCAATAATTCAAGCCTGATACTGGGGCACAAATGCTCATATTCATTGGCTTTTACAGAATGATTAAATGTTTCAGTGTTATAAATCTTATAGTATACTCTAATAAAAGAAGAAAAATGTGAACAGTAATTATATGCCTTTAAAAAATTCTATCTAGTTTCTAATATGAACAGTAAAAGCATTAAGAAGAAAATATACACTTGTGGACAAATTGAGCTTGACATATTTAAAAGAATAACAGCATGAGATGTTGAATATTCTTTTAAACTTATATCTAGATATAGTTCTTTTAATTTTTAATTTTGAAGATGTTCCTATTAATTTTGAATCATATTTGCTCAAATATATTCAGGAGTTCTAGAAACCTAAAAATTATTTTTTGTGAATATGGATATGAAAAATAAGTCCGGTGATTAATTTTACTAGCAGAATATAGGATTTTCATCTCATATAAAATAAAGATTTATTTGCATTTGCACTTGGAAAATATGGGATAGTTGAAATTATAATTGCATTGGTTAATTGTGTGTGGTTTTCTAAGTTAAGGTATAAGGATAGTTGGTGAAGAGGAAATGAGACACTTAACAAATTATGGACATGTGTTCTTTTTAATACACAGACACGTTTAACATAAAACAGCCAAGAGGGAAAGACAATGATTCAATTATGGTTAAAATTAGGGGGTGGGGAGGCATGCCACTACATACACTGAAAAATCCACCCACTTGTCTTTTATTTGCTCTATTCAGAAGGTAATGGCGACTTTGAAGTTGGAAAATATTGATTTATCATGTTATAGCAAGAGGGTCATTAATAAATTTTTCCTTTTCTCTTCTAGCACACTGATTTATGTCAGTACATGGACAAGCACCCTGGGGGGCTGCATCCAGATAATGTGAAGGTAGGAAAAGATCTTTTTAACCCATGGGTTAGCATTCTTGATATGTGTTTTTTGGACCAAAAAATATATATTCTTGATATATATTTTTTGCATCTCTACCATAAGATATTTCAATTTTTAAAACTCTTTGTGTAAAGAGAATGATATTGAGGTGAGCCATAGTCATTGCTTCAGTTGAATTATTGGAAACTATGTTTTAACATTAAATATTTTCACTGGGGTATTAATATTTAGATCTTACATTTTCTTCCTAGAGAAACATTTGCTAATAGTGAGTAAAAACCACTGGAATCCTAATCTTTTGAGATGGAATCGCCCTTTGTCACCCAGGCTGGAGTGCAGTGGCACGATCTTGGCTCACTGCAACCTCTGTATCCTGGGTTCAAGTGATTCTGCTGCCTTAGTCTCCCAAGTAGCTGGGACTACAGGTGTGTCACCACATCCAGCTAATTTTTTGTATTTTAAATAGAGACGGGGTTTCACCATGTTAGCCAGGATCGTCTCCATCTCCTGGCCTCGTGATCTGCCGGTCTTGGCCTCCCAAAGTACTGGGATTATAGGTGTGAGCCATTATGCCTGACCTGGAATCCTATTTTTTAGTGCTTCACGGTAGAGTAGAGTTTCAGTTCTAGCTTGGAACCCATACTGATATACCAGGTGGTTTCAATATAGAGGATCATTATGATCCAAACAATGTTATGGTGGGTCACAGTGCATGTGTTTTTATTTTTAAGTATACGCAGATTCTACTTCCTGCTACTTTTTCATCTTTTTTTTTTACTAGAAATTTTATTACTGAGTATGAAAAGAACTACAGTTTTCTAAGATTTGACCTCACAATCATCTTAGTAACTTGTTCCAAAATTTCAAGCTTAAAACAGGAAACTTTCTTGGTATATGCAATGGAATTAGAAGAGACAAAAGTTATGTCTGATACGGGTTAATTATGTGCTTACATTGTATAACTCAAATGACATTTCATAATCCTGAGGACCAATTAAGTATTACAGATGTATTCGAAGTAAAATTATTCATCTTCATTTCTTCCCGTTGGTTATCTACACCACTCTTTGCAACATGTCATACTTTTTGTACTTTTTTTCTTTGCTTGTAGAGACATATGTACATATGGCATTTTGTGTGTTTATTTTTTTATTAAGATAATATGTATGGCAGGATGCTGTGGTTCACGCCTATTATCCCAGCACTTTGGGAGGCCAAGATGGGAGGATTTTTGAGGCCAGGAGTTTGAGACTGCCCTGGCAACATAGCAAGAACCCCATCTCTACAAAAATATTTTTAAAGTTAGCTGGGTGTTATTATATGTGTCTGTAGTCTTAGCTACCTGGGAAGCTGAGGCAAGAGGTTTGCTTGAGCCCAGGAGTTTGAGGTTGCAGTGAACTATGATCATGCCACTGGACTCCAGGCTGAGCGACAGCCTATCTCTAAAAATGAAAATAAAAAGTAAATGAATAAATAGTGAATACATAATTATATAATTTGTTTTCACTTAAAATATGTATTGAATATTATTTAAAATTAGTATGTGACTATGTAGCTCTTCCTTAGTAACTGTATATTATTCCATAGTATGAATAACCTATATTTATTAATATAGTTAACCATATTTATTAATGTGTATTATTTATATATGTATATGTTACTATAACTAACTTATATTAATTATATTATATATCATCTATTACTATTACTATTAATAAATATAACTATGTATTTGTTAATACAGTTAACTATTATTAACTATATATGAATCAACTCTAAATTTTTAACTGTTCCTTATTCACAGATGTTTGGGTTGTTCCCAGAATGTTGCTATAATTATTCTAGAGTCAATATTAGTATAAAACACTTATACTATCATTTCTCTTGGATACTCCGTTAATGAATTTTGTTTATCAAGAAATACAATTTATTAAGAATACAATTTCTGTAGTAATGAATTTGGCAGGAACATTTGCCGATGAGTTTATAAATAACAGGAGAACTGTTTTCCTCTGTTCTCACTAGCATTGACTAATCAATCATTTTAATTTTGCCATTCCAAAGGGCAAAAATGGAATGTCCTTTACATTGGCATTTGCTTGACTGCTAGTGACATTGAGCATTTTTTCACATATTTCACGACCATTTGTAATTTTGCTTGTATAAGTTGCTTCTTTACATATATTTTCTATTGTCTTTTAATATTTTTCTTAAAAGGTTTTCTAGATATTTGTCACATTAACAATGAGGCTTTTGTGGTGATTAGCTACACTATATAATTTTAAAATATAGGCACTTATAGGAACTCTTTCAAAACATTGTTTGTTAAATAAATAATAGAATCAATATAGAAATTATAGTCTGTTGAATTTTCCATATGTCTCCTTTTTTGTGTTTTATTAGTAGATTTCCTTAACCTTAAAGTTTTTTGACTGTTCATTTTTCTTAAAAATCTGTAACCATTGATATAGATAGTTTATTAGACTAGGTTGACATTTTAACAGATGAAAATATTTGTTTTATTAATCTTGTCCATGTTCAATTCCAACTCCAAATATTAGTATTAATGTGAACATAATTTTATTTTTTTTGCATTAAAAATCTCAAATTCTCTCATTTGTACATTCACATGTTCTCTTCTTAGGGTTTATTGGCTTTGAAATCAGTGGTACAATATATTTTCATTCTTGTTTTGTACTGTATCCCTGAGAATGTATAGATCACCCAGCTAGTGAGACCATTGGCCCTGGGGAGTTCAGAAGTCTGCCAGCCACAGTGGAAATGGGAAGGTCTGAGCTAACTTTGACTTCCTGACTTTCACATTCAGTGATAAGACTGAGATTGAAGAACTGACTGAACCTTTCCAACAGCCATGACATTAATGGGCTTTTATCATCCTTGTTTAGTTTTCTCACCAATAATCTGTGTGTCATTAATTATCAGCAACTGTTGGTGGAAAATTTTGTTGATGAAAGAAAGGAAACCTCTTTCTGCAAAACATTGCTATTCTCTCTCCGTAGGCTAGTGACATTGATGAATTTTGTCCCATTTTTACTGTATATTCTGCTTCTTCCATCACTTTTATTTTCTCTAATTTCCTAGTGGTCATGAAGAGATGGGTCTCTAGGTTACTGTTTCTCAGTGACTGGCTGTAGCTCTAGAAATTCTCTCACCAGCTCTCATTTGAGCCTTGTGTGCTTTTCTTTCATCATATGGTCATTTATCATACTTCAAACACTTACTATTTGCTCCTCATTTAAGTCCAGGTTGCACTGTGGTGATAAACAAGGTTTAACACTGCAAGACTCGGTGCCTCCTAGAACATGGTGAGAAACTTAATGATGAATGAAATATGTAGTCAGCATAGAAATAATGTCACAGGAATTATATGTAACACCTACAACAAGCCTGGGTATTTATATACAACAGAAAATTTTCCTGCTCTGAAGTTGTTTAACATGGTCACAGATAGATGCCTTAGTACATTTTTGTTTCTAAAAAAATGTGATGTAATTTACCTCTTCTTATTTTTACCTTAAAAGCAGCAAAATATTTTAACCTATGGGGATTCCTTTCCCCATAGCTAGTGAAATTTTGATATCTTGAGGATTTTCTGAAATGTTCTGGACAGTCTCAGTTCTTGGCATATTTGTAGATACAAGAAACCTCAGTAATAAACTAAGAGGTCTTCACTATTCCACAGTAGAGTCACCTGGGAAGCTTTATATGTACACACACACACATACATACATACATACATACATACATATTTGTTTTGTTTTTTTTTTCACCTCCCAAAATCAGAATCAAGTTTAAAAATCTGTATAGTGTAATACTGGGAATTTTAGCTAGTGTAATTAGCCAACAGAAAAAAATGAAAAATCCAAATTGGACTAAAGGAAGTCATCAAATCATCTCTCCTTGCATACAAAGTAATATGTATAGAAAAATCTAAAGACTTCATCAAAAAAAGTCATATAACTGATAAACTAATTCAGTAAAGTTGCAGGATACAAAATCAACATATAAAAATTAGTAGTGTTTCTGCCCCAATAATGAACTAGCTGAAAAAGAAATGGAACAATTTAATTTATAAATAGTTACCATAAATATGTAGGAATCAGTTTAACCAAGGAAGGTGAAAGACCTGGATATGAAAACTAAAAAACAGTAACCAAAGAAATTGAAGATGCAAATGAAAAGGTTTACTATGATCATGGATCAGAAAAAATAATATTATTAAAATACCATACTACCCAAAGCAATCTAGAGATTCAATACAATTTCTGTCAAAATACCAATGACATTTTTCATGGCAGTAATAAACAACCCTAAAATTTGTATGGAACCACAAAAGAACCCAAATAGCCAAAACGATACTGAGCAAAAAGAACAAAGCTGGAGACATCACATTATGTAACTTCAAAGTATACTACAAATCTCTAGTAACCAAACAACACGTTATGGGTATATAAAAGAGACACATAGATGAAGGGAACAGAAAAATGCTCAGAATAGAGAATCCCCAAATTAATCTGCTTACCTATAGCCAACTGATACTTGATAAAGATGTCAAGAACATACTTTGGGAGAATGATACTCTCTTCAATAAATGGTGCTGGAAAAACTGGAAATCCATGTGCAGGAGTATGAAATAAGGTCCTTATTTTTCACTATATACTAAAATCAACTCTAGATGGATGAAAGGCTTAAACATAAGACCCAAAACTATTAAACTCATGAAGAAAACATAGGAGAAGCACTTCAGGAATATGGTCTAGAAAAGGATTCTATGGCTAAGACCTCAAAAGCATAGGCAACAAAAATAAAAATAGATAAATAGAACTGTATTAAACGAATAGGCTTCTGCAAAGCAAAGGCAACAGGAGCAAAGATACAACCTGTTGAATGGGAATCATATTTGTAAACTCTTCCATCTGTCAAGAGACTAATATTTAGATTATACAAGTAATTCAAACAACTTGACAGCAAAAGAA